TTTTTTTGCACCCAGAGCCAAAGTGCCATATTTAGGCTTTTTTCGGGGGGAAAGTCGACTTTCGCCAAAATCGAATTTTTCCGCCGAGTGAAAGTCGATTCTGTATTTTCTGGCCCGCCTAATGCCACTGAGGCCCTCACTTGCCCCGGAAATGCAGAAATAAAAAAATTTTTTTTTTGCACCCAGAGCCAAAGTGCCATATTTAGGCTTTTTTCGGGGGGAAAGTCGACTTTCGCCAAAATCGAATTTTTCCGCCGAGTGAAAGTCGATTCTGTATTTTCTGGCCCGCCTAATGCCACTGAGGCCCTCACTTGCCCCGGAAATGCAGAAATAAAAAAATTTTTTTTTTGCACCCAGAGCCAAAGTGCCATATTTAGGCTTTTTTCGGGGGGAAAGTCGACTTTCGCCAAAATCGAATTTTTCCGCCGAGTGAAAGTCGATTCTGTATTTTCTGGCCCGCCTAATGCCACTGAGGCCCTCACTTGCCCCGGAAATGCAGAAATAAAAAAATTTTTTTTTTGCACCCAGAGCCAAAGTGCCATATTTAGGCTTTTTTCGGGGGGAAAGTCGACTTTCGCCAAAATCGAATTTTTCCGCCGAGTGAAAGTCGATTCTGTATTTTCTGGCCCGCCTAATGCCACTGAGGCCCTCACTTGCCCCGGAAATGCAGAAATAAAAAAATTTTTTTTTTGCACCCAGAGCCAAAGTGCCATATTTAGGCTTTTTTCGGGGGGAAAGTCGACTTTCGCCAAAATCGAATTTTTCCGCCGAGTGAAAGTCGATTCTGTATTTTCTGGCCCGCCTAATGCCACTGAGGCCCTCACTTGCCCCGGAAATGCAGAAATAAAAAAATTTTTTTTTTGCACCCAGAGCCAAAGTGCCATATTTAGGCTTTTTTCGGGGGGAAAGTCGACTTTCGCCAAAATCGAATTTTTCCGCCGAGTGAAAGTCGATTCTGTATTTTCTGGCCCGCCTAATGCCACTGAGGCCCTCACTTGCCCCGGAAATGCAGAAATAAAAAAATTTTTTTTTTGCACCCAGAGCCAAAGTGCCATATTTAGGCTTTTTTCGGGGGGAAAGTCGACTTTCGCCAAAATCGAATTTTTCCGCCGAGTGAAAGTCGATTCTGTATTTTCTGGCCCGCCTAATGCCACTGAGGCCCTCACTTGCCCCGGAAATGCAGAAATAAAAAAATTTTTTTTTTGCACCCAGAGCCAAAGTGCCATATTTAGGCTTTTTTCGGGGGGAAAGTCGACTTTCGCCAAAATCGAATTTTTCCGCCGAGTGAAAGTCGATTCTGTATTTTCTGGCCCGCCTAATGCCACTGAGGCCCTCACTTGCCCCGGAAATGCAGAAATAAAAAAATTTTTTTTTTGCACCCAGAGCCAAAGTGCCATATTTAGGCTTTTTTCGGGGGGACGTTGGCAGCCAATATTGTCCCAATGTTGGCATCCAACACTGGCCCAACGTTGACAGCCAACATTGGCCCAACGTTGGCAGCCGACATTGCGCCAACGTTCGATTTTTTTACCTCTCTCTGAATATTGATTTTAAAATATACTATATATCGATACAAGTCCGTGAAAATCTGTTCACCTCCTTGGGAATGACCGGGCCATTCTTAACTTCTGTCTCCACTATCTTCTTCCTTCTATCACCACCACCACCACGCGATATTTTCTTTCCATCGTGTAAGCTAGCTGACTGCGCGAAAACATCGGAAAATCGATTTTAAAAGAGGCAATCGGGCAATATATCGAACGATCGCTGAGAGACTCCTGGTTCAAGTTCTAAGAAGCGACGCTAGCACTTTTCTCTCATATTGTTTATCATTTCGCAGATGACAGATGGGAGAATTTAAATAACGCGATTAGCTGAAGATTATTTTCGATGTTTTGAGAAGCTAGCGTAGGATCGTTAACAGTGATATCACACGTAGGAAAAAGAATGAAGACAAATCAACAGCTGTGTGAACTTGGAGTCGAAGTTTGATAAATTGATTGTCTTTCTTATAGTATCGATTGTACTCAGTGAGTACCTGAATGTACTACATTCATTTTCATTTGTACCCCGCACCCCTAGACGTAAGAGGTGCAGGAAAAATCGTGCGTCGGAAATGAAGCTACGGAAAAAATTTTCATGAGCAAGGATTCAGCATGGATAGTACTTGTATGTACTATATTTTTTCATTTCATTTATCAACCCCTTCAATACTTTACCCGCTTCTAAAATCTTAAATGTATGAAGGACGTCAGGAAAACATACAGATAACTTCTAAATCGTTAGTACTCGTTTGTACAAACGAAAATTATTCATTATTATTATTATTATTATTATTATTATGATTATTCTCATCAAATCTCCTGATTCCATTTTTATCAACCGTAAAATCATCGTAATGGATTCCATATGTAGTTCGTGAAGTTTTGATGATTAAATTATTATTAAATTAATTTTTCTTTGCGATTTCGTTTTTCGCGATTATCTCGGAAACTATGAGAGATAGAGCCTTAAAACCACTTTTGGGTTTGCTATAGGAAGATGGACGGCTCAGAATTGCGTTTTTCCACTACCTACACCCTATACCAGATAAATTAAATTAATTTTTCTTTGCGATTTCGTTTTTCGCGATTATCTCGGAAACTATGAGAGATAGAGCCTTAAAACCACTTTTGGGTTTGCTATAGGAAGATGGACGGCTCAGAATTGCGTTTTTCCACTACCTACACCCTATACCAGATAAATTAAATTAATTTTTCTTTGCGATTTCGTTTTTCGCGATTATCTCGGAAACTATGAGAGATAGAGCCTTAAAACCACTTTTGGGTTTGCTATAGGAAGATGGACGGCTCAGAATTGCGTTTTTCCACTACCTACACCCTATACCAGATAAATTAAATTAATTTTTCTTTGCGATTTCGTTTTTCGCGATTATCTCGGAAACTATGAGAGATAGAGCCTTAAAACCACTTTTGGGTTTGCTATAGGAAGATGGACGGCTCAGAATTGCGTTTTTCCACTACCTACACCCTATACCAGATAAATTAAATTAATTTTTCTTTGCGATTTCGTTTTTCGCGATTATCTCGGAAACTATGAGAGATAGAGCCTTAAAACCACTTTTGGGTTTGCTATAGGAAGATGGACGGCTCAGAATTGCGTTTTTCCACTACCTACACCCTATACCAGATAAATTAAATTAATTTTTCTTTGCGATTTCGTTTTTCGCGATTATCTCGGAAACTATGAGAGATAGAGCCTTAAAACCACTTTTGGGTTTGCTATAGGAAGATGGACGGCTCAGAATTGCGTTTTTCCACTACCTACACCCTATACCAGATAAATTAAATTAATTTTTCTTTGCGATTTCGTTTTTCGCGATTATCTCGGAAACTATGAGAGATAGAGCCTTAAAACCACTTTTGGGTTTGCTATAGGAAGATGGACGGCTCAGAATTGCGTTTTTCCACTACCTACACCCTATACCAGATAAATTAAATTAATTTTTCTTTGCGATTTCGTTTTTCGCGATTATCTCGGAAACTATGAGAGATAGAGCCTTAAAACCACTTTTGGGTTCCCTATAGAAACCAGACAATCACCCATTATGCCCCGTTAGTTTTTCAAATATTTCCACTTCCCATTCGTCTTTCTAGCCTTCGCGAAATGATGGAGATGGATTGATACCCTCGCACTGCATGAAATGGAAATAAATGATGGAAAGAAATCTAAAGAAATTCCTCGTAACATCCGGGAATGATGTACCGTCCGAGGAAATACATTTACACGTATACTTTCCTGTCATTCAATGTCGCTCCGTGATCTCATTTGTAAAATGTCTCAGGGCTACTTCGATATGAATTATGCGGTCGGAGATATCGCCCGGGAGAGGAAACTCCATCCATCCTGTGGACTCACATTCGCAATGTTTTCAACGAAACATTGAGAATGGATTTTCGATGCGTTCGTGTACATGAGGCTGAAACTAGCGGAATATTCGACGGGGGAAAATTCAGCTCAGGGGATGTTTGAGGGTTTAAGGACCGAACAATCATGTGAGCAAATTTTTTCTTACGACTGGAAACTTTGCCATCGTTTAAAGTTAAGTTTTCATTATGCCTTTATCCCTTCCCAAAGGTAACCCATGCAGAAAATAACGCAAATATTGGAAATTTTAAAGTAGTGTAAGCAAAATGAATTTTGAAAATTAAAATCTGAACTAAATTCTGAACGAAAGTTAGAATATAATATATAGAAACATTCGGGTTGAGTCTGCGCTCCATCGGCTGTCTAGTATTATTGATAATAATTAATCAAAAAGTGAAAAAATAACACAGAGTCTTACGAGAAAATTAACTTTTCGAGGTTACGGAGAAGATTAAAAATCTAGAGAGACTCTAAAAAAATCAGAGAACACTAAATCAAAATTCTATGTCCAATATGAAAATCATCGTCAGTGTCAAACTTTTCTAATCTAAATAAAAAAAAACTTAATAAAAAAAAATTGTCTAATAAATAATTTATTTTCCCACATTCGATATTTACCTTTTCAATCATATGTAAAGTTGTTTCACATATGATTGAAACAACTTCACGAAACTTTCATCTTACAGATAGAATTTGAACACTCTTAGACCTGCCTGAATTAAATCTTTCGCTATTTTTAACTTCATTTCGTGTTTGTCGTAAATACGATATGCATCTACGGTTTTTGATAAAGAACAATCAATATGTTTGTGGAGGTCAATGCGAGGCGCAAACGCAGGACTCACCCAATTTATTAATGAATGACCCCAACAAACGATCCCGATCGTTAAATTGTTTTTCCATTCATTGATCATCTTTTTGGGAGCTCAACGAACCTCTGCTGACATTCATTAATTCGTCTATTTATCGGTGGGGAAATTCAATCAACGGGTCGTCGGGGGTGGGCAATCGAATTATTTAGCATAATTTAACTAGTTTGAATGGTTTTTGGATTTTTTTTTCAGTAAACTCACTTTGAATCCTTTGTACCACTCTTTGATGGTCGCCTCGTCGTATCTCGTGTGCGACTTCAGGAAGTCCATGTCCTCCTTACTCAGTTTGTCTTTGCTACCGAAGCAACCCATTATGAATACTGGAACAAGATAATGAGACCATTGTTAATGGTGTTGTACATTTTTCATTCGTAGAGTTAATAGGGGAATGATAGATAGGGATAAAACAGTTTTTGGTTTTCACGGATTTTTGTTCATATTATTTTCAGAGAATTTTATAATGTGAAAAAAATGATATTGACAAGATCCTGGAGTTTAATTACTGGATAATTATCAGTTTTTTTATTTCATTAATTTTAACCGGATCGTAGTAGCTAAAGCTGTATAGCTCTAGGCGAAAATAAAATTCTCATCCAATATTGGAGTATTGGACTTTTGATTCAGAGTGGAATTTCGTGATTTTTTTTTCATTCTCGAATGTATTTTTACGCTTCAATATGCAGTGTAAGTGAAGTAAAATTGGACTCGGTAGTGAAGAATTCATATTTAATTTGATGTAGGAGGGGAGAGGGAGGATAGTGAAATTTTCAATTTCACTGAAAATTGAATGGAATTCGAAATTTTTTGGCAGCAAAATTTTCATTTTTCTCAGCACCAAATTATCAATTTCACAATATTGGAAAATTCAGTACTAAATATTGGAATTTTTATTCATAATGAAATTTCATTAATTTTTTTTCATTTCCGAGGTATTTTTTTAAACTTCAAAATCCACTGTTAGTGAAAAATTTAAATTTCATTAGAATACAAAAAATTGACATTTAATTCAATTTAGGAGGGAATAAATGGTGACACGTCAAGTATCTCTAAAAATATAATGAAATTTGTCATTTTTTTGCAGCAGGAAGTTGAGAATTTGCCGCCTTACTTGAATTTATAATCAAAGAATGAATTATCTGAATGAATGAAAATTCAATAATGGATTCACCTGAATTTTCCAGACTTATATTAACTTTTATGACATAAGTGGACGAAAGTTGCCATTTTCCACAGATTTTTCCACCAGATTGTGAAGTTTCAACGACTAAGTTCCTTAAAATCTCAGTGGACCCATCACTGAATGAAAATTCCCAAGAATTCTGCCGAAAATTTTAGTCGAATTCCTTCACCAATGGAAGACAATTAAGTAAATTTGAAGAATTTTCAAAATAGTATGAAATCGTTGAGTATTTATCGCGGTTGTGATGTTCTTCATTTTTTTTTCACTTTGTTTGAATAGACAAATAAACTACTCTGAGAACAACTGCAAATATTGAGCCGTTAATAGAAAAAACTAGCTTCAAGTTTTCTCACTCCACTGAATTGGTTCAACCTCTACTTCTGAACTCGTCAGAAATTATTCAGGCGAATGACTGAAGAACTAAATCTCAAATGTCACGTGTGAATCGAGACACTGCACGCTGCAATATCTCTAATGTCAACACACTGATAGAAATGGCGCAATGATTTAGCTCATTGAATTGTTAACAAGGCTCTATTTCCACTATTGATGCCATCCGCGCGCGAATCGCGCCCGCGGAAAAATGGTTCATTTGAATTCAGTTGCGACATGGTAAAACGGTTTAAGTCGACTTATCTCTTAGTTGAGTTTTTGAAGAATACCTCCGAATTTAAAGGAGATAATGAAATTTTCGCAATAACCTTTTTTCTAGAGCAAATTGAGTGCTACAAAAAAGGTTTTGACAAAAATGTAGCTATCACCCTTCGATTCCGTGATATTCACTAAATACTGGCCAATAGTCAAAATCGACTTAAACCGGTTTACCACTTCGCTACTGAATTAAACAAATTTAACTTGAATCAAATAAATCGTTGACCCGATTCATTCGATTACTTAAATTTTATTCAATTAAAATGACAATTTGTTTGCCTTAATCCTGTCAGTGCAGCGCCCAAAATAGGGAGATGAGGGTGGAAACTACACATTGCACGATAGAACTGTTTTTTATTTTTAATTTAAGCGTCGAACCCTTACGTTTATGCAGCTATATACAGAAAAAAATAAATAAATATATAAGAAGATGAATATTATGCATTCTAGTAACTATTTGGGTGCATGTACATATCATTTGGGATTCATGTGTATTAATCTATGTAATAGTTATAAATGTCAATGGAAACGATCTTGAATCGATTTTTGGTAAGACGAGGCACGTTCCCTGAGTTCGTGGGTGGGAAGATGGTAATGAATATTGCTGATCATACTGGATAATCCTTTATAGTATCGATAGAACTTTTTTATCATATTCTCGGTATAATGAGGTGGAGCGTAGGAAATAACAGCGCGTTGTCACAATTTCGGAAAGGTTTTTTTTGTTTGCCCTTTGGGAAAGTGCTCTCCCGAGCATGCAGACGATCTCGACACACACACACACACACACACACAGACGGCTAAAAAAACTCGACGTCCCTCATTTTGTTCGCCTCTTTAGGTGACACGTAGTTTAGTTGTAAATGCGATCGGCGCTCGGTTGTGAGTTGCGTCAGCAGTAGCGTGTGGCCATTCCGGTTCCTCTGGGCTTTTCGTACTCCCATTTTTACGTATGTAGAACACTGGTGAACATTATTTCACGGGGGTAATAAGAGATTTTTTTTAGATTATTTTCCCTCCACTCGTAATTTTACATTCACGGGGAATTAATTTAAATGAGACCCCGGAAGGCTTGAGCGTCATAATTCACATGCACTGGGGACCCCGGGGACGCTGGTTCATACAATTATAATTATTGAGCGCTGGGGGAAGGGGTGGAGTGGATCGAGTCGTAAAAAATTGTTGGGTGAACGAGGTTTTTTTAGGGCGGATTATAAGCAGTTATCAGCTTCATTTCTGAATATTAAGGAGCGAATATTCAATCGCAGGGAAATTTTGTGAGTACGGAGATCTTAATTTTTTTTATGAGGAATTTCTTTCCAAAAAATGCATGGGCAATATCGAATGTATGAGAGTGATATTGAATCTCATTTAGGGGAAATTGTTATGGAGTTTTAAGTTTTAGGTAGAATTCAAGAAAATTTATGAGTTTTCAGTGGGTATGACACGGAAATTCTACAACTTGATTGAATTCTCCACGGAAAATGAATACTGAGAACCACAATGACATGAATTTTCAATTTATCCCTGAACTTCCCTGATTTTTGAGAATGACTATAAACAATTGATTGAAAAAAGGAATATCCAATCCGACAGGAAAAGGGCATAATATTAAACATCAATATTAAAGACATCATTTGAAAAAAAAGAAAAAATTCTGGAAATGTCCCCCGAAATGTTCCGCTGTTGCACAATCGTTTTCGCAAAATGATATCCGTACGGAGTAAAACTTCGTCATATACAATTGCAACATTACTCAGAAGAAAAAGAAAACAGTTTAAATACGTCCGGAGAAAGTAACACATGACAGCGCACTACAAATTTATTTTCTACGTTCCAGACGACGACACGCAGGACACGTAGCATAATGCAAAGTTTATACTTGTTGATATTTGGTATCAGGGGGAGGAGACGTCCGGGGTCATTCGTATCGTCCAACCGATTGGGTCAAAATGAAAAACATAAATACCCATCACTCGACCACAACGAGGACTCCTAAATTAGGGTCGATTGTAATCCCAGCGATAGACTCGACTTGAAAATCAAACTGAATCGACTTGATGGTTAGTGCGTGTGCCCTGGCAACAGGAAATTACCCGGCGCGCTTACGATTGTCGGCCAAGTGCACGTGCGTAGCATCATTATTTGTAGAGACCCATTTGGCCAATGAAAATATTATATCGTGATGGATCTCACCGCCAACACCATTACGTGAGGTGAATTATTGATTGTAAATACATTTAATTTTGTATTAATGAATTGATTTGAAAGGCTTCTTTCTTTTTGGTTGAAAACAATATGTGAAGGGTAAAAACTTTCTCATTTTTATTTCAAAGAATGGAAAAATATTAATACTATTTTGAAATAAACAATGAATTGTACATAATAGAAGGAAATTATGTGCTAAATTAACATTCAGAAGCATATTGCTAATTTATTGGCAAAAATAACTGTACTATATGCAATATAAGAGCAATTTCCCACTTGTTGCCCTTCTAGATTAATTCAGTAGCGAAGTGATAAAAGGAGATAAGTCAATTTTGACGATTGACCAGTTTTCAATCAATATCTCGGAATCTAAAGGAGATAGCGAAATTTTCGTAATTACATTTGTTGTAGCACTTATTCAGCTCCACAAAAAAGGTTGTAACAAAAATTTCACTATCTCCCTTAGGTTTCGAGATATTGATTGAAAATTGGTCAATAGTCAAAATTGACTTATCTCCTTTTACCACTTTGCTACTGAATTATTATCAATAATACTAGACTGTCGATCGAGCACAAATTCAACCAAAATGTTTCTATTCATATGAACTTTCGTTTAGAATTAATTTCAGATTTTAATCTTCAAAATTCGAGTTATGTTCGCACTACTCACGAAAAAAAAATATTTGAAAATATTTTTTATACTCGAATGGGGGATAAGTGTTTCAATTCGAGGATGATGGATGATTACCTGACACCCACTTTTTTTACTTTTATATTCTGACCCTTATTAGGGTCAGGGTAAACAAATGAGGGTCAGAATATTTTCTGACCCTCATTTGTTTACCTCCACTTTTTGACCCTTATATTCTGACACTCAGTGCCCGACCCTTATATTACACTTGAGAGGGCTTGCTACAACCCGGCCTGATACAAAAGAATCATCTTCGAATTGAAATACCCATCCCCCAATTGAGTATAAAATATACTTGAATCAAGTGTGTTTTAAACACAATTCAGGTATATTTTTCTTTCGTGTACTTGAAAAAATTCCCGAAATAAACGTGCAACGACCCTCCGAGGAATTGATTCCCCGGTATCGATAGTCGTGTCAGGGTCGAGACAAACTCTCGAGGACACAATATGCGAGCCTGCGGTGGTCCCGAGTATCTTGCAACTAGTAAACCATCAATCATGGGTGCAAGGTGCCGTTGCATGCGTTACGACCCCCAACCGCAGCAATATCCAATATGCAATATCCCGGAGAAACAAATAAAACGAAGCATAAACCGTGAGGAAGACAACAGTGGCTCTCGATTTAGAGCCTCGTTCCCCTCACACCTCCCGACACTTAATTGCGCGTAGTTATTACAAACGACTTAAGATGTATGGGGCGGGGGGAGGGGGAGGGCCTCTACTCGTTGCGTCACGCACGGGACCGGTCGATGCCAATGCAAAGAAAATCCTGGACTCGAGGCACGCGCGAGTTGTGTTGCAATTTTCTCTGCGGATTTGTTATGTATTCCCACGTCAACTCAATTTCAGCTTTTAAAAAAAGGAATAAATTATAATAGTGAATGGCAGGAAGAATAATTTGAAACAGTAGTTGGAGGTATTGATGGCAAAAAATGGCAGAACAGGTCGATAAGAGTGTCAGGGGTTTTACTAGCTTTCGTTTAGAATTTATTTCAGATTTTAATCTTCAAAATTCAATTTGTATGAGGAAATACAAATCAAAGGAGTGAAATTGCACGATTTTCTTCATTTTGAAGGCAAACAGATATTGAAGATTGAAGAAAATTTAGTTTATCTCATCTTCCTCCATCAAATGATAAGTTTTGGAGTTGTGTCTTGCCAACGAATGAGAAATAAATCGGTTCTTTTTTCTTTCCGAGGTATTGGAATCATCTTTATGGAATCATGGAGTTGAAGAGATGTCCTGCATCAAATTAAAATATATGCTCCCCAGAAGAGATCTTTTATCGTGTTGAATCAATTTACTTGTGGACAAAAAAGAAAGTTTCCAACGAAACATAAAGATATTAAATTTTCTTCTATCAAGTCGGTCAATTTCCCTCAAATAAATCTGCTCTACTCCATCAAATATCAGGAGAGCCAATGTTTCCTCTCAGTGCATTGGGTCGAATTCATGTCGAATCAATGGCTAAAGAAATTATTGGAAATTATTCCGAGAACGAAGCTCAAACATCTGTACAAGTGTACAAAATTGCAGGCGGTAGGATAATAATGCACGAGGCGATAACTCCCCCGTGACGTCGGTTCACTCGCTCCCCGGCACGCTAATTTCTTCGACTTCCGGTCACAAATTAGCCGGCTAAATATGTCGAATTGCCTTGAGGTAATAACAATCGATGCACTCCGAGTGCAAGAAGTCTAACAAAAAGAAGTTGTGAAAACATCCAGTCATCAGTGTCACAATGGGGAGAGCGAAGCAGAGCCGCGATACGTTGATATCACTCAAACCATCTAGCTTCTTCGAAGGCTTCCGAAGATTTATAAAGATTATGTTTTCGACACCAATTCTCCATCATTAATCAACTGGGGATCACTTACATACCCCCTGTATCAAAAGTTTAGTTAATGGTGATATGTGACCTGAGTGATACCAAATCCGGACTTTATTCCATCGATCAAGTGTAGCCAAGATAAAAGGCACATTGAGAAATTGATGGCATTGAGGATTGCAGGTGCCTTGAAGTCAATGACGAAGTTCGATGAGAAATTCAAGAAAAAAATCATCGATTTTTGACCACTAGTTTCCAAATTCAGACGAAAAATTTTCCAATCGACAAATTTTTTAGTGAAATTCATTAGATAGAGAATGGTTTTTTTTTTATTGTCAAAAAATCCCCTTAAGGGGTGACAGAAAACCATCGTTTTCTTAAAATTTTTTAACAAATTTCCTGCTCAAAATTATTAATATTTTTCAACCCAAAGCACATTGATCTTCATCATCACCTCCTGGAGATTAATGTGCTTCGATTTTTTAAAGTATCGATAACTTTCAGTAGGAAATTTGTTCAAAAATTTGGAAAATTAAGAGCGTTCTGTTACCCTTTAATGGATACTTTTGAAATTATGTAATTGTGCATCACATAATTCTCTGCAGAACGAATGTATTCACCCGAAGGACTTATAAACGCCCCACGAGAGCAATTACTACGCCGAAAATAATCATGTTTTGGTGGAAACTGTTTTTGACCACAAGTAAATTGATTCAACACAATTTTTCGGCAGAACTAATTTTCTCTGACTATAATCTGAAGTAGCCCCTAAAAGTCACTCAATCTCAATTTGACAGTCTCTGAAAATTTGATGACATCGATCGCACAACTGCCCTCCCCAAAAGGGCAGGGAAATTCCACCTGAAATAAAAAAACGACAACCAATTTCGACCCCCTAGCTTCCCAACCCCAAACAGAACCTCGTCCATCCTTTTCCTCCATCAAAATTTTGAGTGAAATACACGGAGAAATATTCAGTAAAAATTGCGGAACTCACAATTCGCTCACCGATTACGGAGTCGACTCAGAAAATTTAAGTGACGGCATCATAATTTTTCACAGGACATTCAGATAAAAATTCCGGAAAGCTCTAAAAAAATTCCGTGACAGTTTTGTAAAATTTACATCCACATTTCGCTCCGGAATTACGGAAAAAATACGTAATTTTTATTAAATATTTCTCTCCGTGTAACTCAAATAAAAAAACTCTCCACCCTGTCCCGAATAAAATCGCCCCACACGGAGAGAAATATTCAGTAAAAATTACGGAACTCACAATTCGCTCACCGATTACGGAATCGACTCAAAAAATTTAAGTGGCGGCATCGCAATTTTCCACAGGACATTCAGATAAAAATTACGGAAAGCTCTTAAAAAACTCCGTGACAATTCCGTAAAATTTACACCCACATTTCACCCCGGAATTACGGAAAATATACGCAATTTTTCTTAACTATTTCTCTCCGTCTAACTCAAATAAAAAAACTCTCCACCCTGTCGCGAATAAAATCCCCCCAATTGTAAAATATTTTACCTCCCATACCCCAGCTCAGACCCCATTCACCCCTGACCCTATTCTCCCGCCAGACCCACCGAGCCCTATTTATATTGCATTAAAAAAACACCAGGGAAATAATCCCCACGATTCCCTATTTACCCACGATATTGACATACTTCACCATGTCCACCCCCTCATCCCCATCAGCCGTCGGTCATTGAGTAGCAACTTAAAAGCAAGATAAACCACTAGAATAGAGGTACAAATGGATGGAGTGGAGGCTAGCCGAAAATTCGTTTGCCGAAAATAGGAAAGCAGTGGTTCTCACGCTCGACCGAGTTTCCACCCTTGGAAGATGATTTCGCAGATTATTAAAGGCGGACAAAACTTGACAAAACTAATATCTATTAGCGTATTGAGTGCAAGACAATTAACAATTAACCANCAAATGGGCACTCGAGTGCACTGGATACAGTGAAAATACACGTCTATTCTATTCCCCGAGTTTTCAGCGCGGGTTATAGCCCTCCTGCATTATTCAAACAGTCGCCCGTTCCGGGGGTAATCTCAGGTCTTTCGTTGTACCCCCCCCCCCTCATCCCAAAAAAAACATCTAGTTTTCATCTATCCCGAGACCAGACCAACGTCCATTGTAATTTTCATGGGAATAAACTCCGGAGACCTCTCAGTATTCCCCAAATATACGAATTCGATCGATAAAATGTCAAGTTATATTTCATGCTGGCTTACCTGTCTCAAGTCTCACTTAAACCGTCGAACAGTGAATATAATATAACCCCCTAGTAAAAAACTTCTCCTTCACCAAACTACCCCAGTGAATCGTCTGAAACGTTCATCAACAACTGAATAACGAAGAAAAAAAGTAAACTTCGGCATTAGCGTGACATAGCGCTGCGAATACGTCACGTCACACAAGTTAACTTTCGGGAGGGAAAAACGAAATCGTCACAACACTTCTGAATTTATTACTCCCCTCAATTTATCTCCCACCTATTATTTTATTTATATAATCCTAAAAGCACCGGTACACGTCGCAGTCTTGTGTCAACGACTAGCCGAACAATCTCAACACACGACGCTACGACTTTCCACAGTTACAATCCCCCATCCGCGTCATCACGGGATAAATCACTGCCTCGAGTTGGATGCATCAATCCTCAACATTCACTGATCACAGGAATTCATGAATTTTGACTTTCTCTGATCACTTGTCAACGGTTGTCAGTGCTCTTTGTCAACTGGCCAGTCTGACCTTCAATGTGATATCCTCATTCGTCAGTTTTTCCCCGTCATTTTACCCCCCACAATTTCAATTAATTATTCAGAATCTAGGATAAAGCACATGCGGGCGGTTCTGTCAGTTTGTGGTACGCGGGGACAAAATTATAGAGGAGGCCCACTGGATTGCCGTGCACAACTACACTGGAGTCTCTTTTCTCACTGGCACACTCGCTTGTAACACCACCACCACCACCCCCTCACCCCCCGCCCCACCACCGCCACCCGATTTTTCTCCTTCCACCGGTGCTGATCCTGCGTGCTAAACGACAGGCGCCCAATGCCACCACCGCCGCCAGCCCGACGCTTCCACGATATAGACTTTCCACCTCCTTGTGGGTGATGGGGTCGACTCTGTGTGGGTAAGTGGCGACTCACGACGCCATCCATGTTACGTATGGGTCTGTCATGCATCGGGGAGATGTTCGTTTATCAATGCAATGGGTTTGGTGGGGCGAGGATCATCGGAGGTTTGAATAATTCTGGAGAGAGATCGTCGGGGCCGGTGGATTGGGGAATTATTGGGCAGATACTGAGGCGGGAAGTGAGTGATAACTCTGCACTGTTGATGAAATTTGAAAGAATTTTCCGGAAGATGTTGAATTCGATGGGAGGGGAAAATGTGTTTGAAGCTCATCGGAAAATTCTAGCAAAGGGCCGATTTTTCGGCGGCCGGAAGACCGATTTTTCATAGTTGATATGAATTTTCGTGGGAATGTTGATGTTCACTGAACAATTTCCTTGAATTTTCAGGGGATTCCTTCGAAATTCTTGGAATTCTGGGGATTTATTGAGGATTTCCTTTAAAATTCTGGGAATTCAGAGAAGTTTTGAAGGAATTCCCTGACAATTCAGAGGACTTTGGAATTCAAGGAGAGGTTTCGCGGAATTTACCGAATTTTTTCATTAATTTTTCCGGAATAATTGAACGGAAATTTATAGTTCCTACAGATTAATTTCGGGATTATGAATTTTCAATTACAAAGTTCCTTGAAACTTCAGTGGAAAATTTAAAAAAATTGTTCAAATGTATCCAATTGTGATTTTAAATAGGCAGTGTCCATTCACACCCTCCACGGTAACTTTGACCGCGGATATATGGGACGTTTTCCCGTGGATTTAAGGTAATTTCTACCGTGGACATTTTATTTCTCAAATTAAATCTAGACAATAAACTAGACACATCAAATCAATTGATAAGTGATATGCAGATAGCAGACTAGTAAATAATTCTCTCAAAATATTAATTCGTTGAATACGAGTATCAGTCTAGATTAACGCAAATAAAAAATGAAATAAATCGTAGAGTTCAAAACCAGAGTTGTGACAACATTGTCCAGTGGAGTCTAGGAGTCACCCCCGATTGGGAAATCATTACCATGGAGTGTGTAAATGGACACTGACATGAAAATTGTCGTTTAAAAACAGATTGCGCACGTGTGGGGCGATCGGTAGAGCGGAGGTTTAGTAATCTGGAGGACCAGGGTTCGATCCCCGGTTCCGCAGATTTTTTTTTTTACAACTACAATAATCTGAAGGTTGTGAGTTGAAATCCCCCCCTGAGTATTAAACTGGACTCGTTATTCCTTTGTTCTCAAGTTAATTTTCACTCGGTGTCTCTGAAAATGAGCGAAAAAAATGCATTAGTTCTCCCTGAATCACGCCATGCGATTACGTTTCGCATTATACCTTTACTAAAGTCCCTGCATCTAAAAAAACTCCTACAATCATGATCATGCGATGTACTTCCCTCAGGACTCCCCCTCTTATCTCTCAAAATACGCGATTCACTCAATAAAAAAAAACTCCAGGAAATCGAACAGGAAATGCTTCGGATCTCTTTAAACCTTTTTACCCGCCTCTCCATGAAGATATAGGAGGTAATAAAGATCCGAGAAAAATTATTAGTTCGCAGGGTGCGGGATGACCTTTCGGATCTTCCTTCCCTCGAGGCAAACATTCAACAAACGACAGCAACAGAAATAGACCTGAGACAGAGCATTGCGTATCTCCTTTGTGGCTTGATATCTCTGAAAGGATTAGAATTGTCTGCTATGGGATGAGAATGAAGTGTTCGGGGCAAAAATGTGAAGAAAAAAGATTTCTAAAAAAAAAATCGAAGGTTATTTCTCCTTTCTTTCCTCGTTATTTCCGTTTTGAGTCCACTGAAATATAGGTCAGATGATAGACAACACTGTATGGAAGAATCGAGGATTAGAAACGTATTTACGAAGCAATAAATTTGCGTGCTCTCGAGGAAATTGAGGGACAACGGGGGGGGGGGNGGGGGGGGGTGGAGAAGGCGCAATACGCGGCAACGTGGGGGATCTCAAGTAGAAAAGGCAGAGTTTAATCCGACGAATTGAGAAAGATTTATATCTTCAACTGGAGTTATTTATTGGTCTTTTGTACTGCTTATTTTATCGGAAGTTCGCGTTTTACGGGCGAATCGGGAGATATTGAGTGAGAACCATCGGAGCGATGGTAACGAAATTTTATTGACACATTTGTTGCGAGTGAATGATTGAATGGTTTTGCGCAAAACATTGGAGATCAAAAAAATTATTTTTCCTCGTTAATCCGGGATTAATTATCTCAGAAAATATTTAGCGATAAATTTTCCAGCCATTGTTTCACAATTTCCACCGAAGGATCCGATAAAACCGTAAATTTACAGTTAGAATAAATGTTGAGAGGGGCATCTTCAAGGGATAGAGGAGTCCATTGTTGATCCTTTAGTGGTAATGGATGTCGGCACCAAGTGGAAGTAAAAAAAACATCACCCTATGATAAAGAGAGATGCACGCGCAATTCTGTCGGCGAAGACGGTGAGTTCTGGGTGAAGAAAATTGCCTCGATCTTTTCTCTTTCATATACAGTCGTTCCGCAAACTCTTTCCTCACTCGAGGGACAGAAATTTCTCCATCCCACGTGCTCCGTTCCACGAGATATTTCTCCGTAAAGATCATACAGGGCACAAGGGAAAAAAAAGGACGAAATGATAACAATGAAGGAGAGAAAGGTGAGGGAAAAAAAAATTTCATTTCACCCTTGGATTTCTGACGTCTTATTAGAAACCAAAGGTATTACGGCGAGAGCAATTTCCCCATTCTCCCCGAAAACTCAAGGGGCAGAGCGTTGAAGTTAAGCTTTTCCCTGAATTACGAATAAGAGGAACAAGACTAAAGGGGGGAAAAAAATAAAATGGGAACAGTTTTAATCCCAAGCCTCTTCAGTACAACGATTTATCCTCGAGTAATCAGGCTTGAATACTCCTGTACATTATCTTAAACAATTTTTTTTTCCTGAGGTGCTCCCTTGCCTGGGTTTCCTGGGATAACTTTGAAAAAAGTTCAAGGGGGGAAGAAAAATTGGTGGACTGAGGGCTATTATTCTTCATTTGCGGGGACTCCGGTGGAATTCAGCATTTTTCATTGTTCTAATCCATTCTAAGTCAGACTTATTCGAGTGCTTCCTTACTATCTTTGGAAAATTCTTGATCAGAATTTAAAAATATTGTGGAACTCTACTCTCAATTTAGAAACAATAATTTTTAAATCATAACTGAAGATGGAGTACTATTCTTCAATCAAGAGCGATGTGAATTTTTCGTGCAATCACAAGAACTTTGTGTCGGAGTCACACGCTTCGCCAAGAAGGAAGTTCTCGAAGTAGCTCCTTACGGCTCAAGTCATTGAGTGTTTTCGCAAGAAAAATAATTCAGTAGCGAAGCTGTAAAACGGTTTAAATCAACTCAGCTTTTAGTTTTCGAGGATTATCTCCGAATCTACGGCAGATAGCGAATTTTTCGTAATGACTTTTTTCGCAGCTCTCAATTCGCTCTACAAAAAAGGTTATGCCGAAAATGTTGCTGTCTGCCTTAGATTCCGAGATATTCACTGAAAACTACCCAAATTGAAAATTATCGTTCGAAAAATTCATGTTTTTATGCATAAAATATTTAAATGAATTATCATCATGAACATAACAATTATCTCATTCCTTTTATTCCTATAGAAGTGTGAATAAAGTTTTTCAATTGCCTAGATTGAAAATACTCGCGAGGCGAGCGGAGTGAGCGCCATAACTATTGCCGTTGTTGTCGTGTCTATTTCTGTTCCCAGTCCCGTCAATTCCGGATGGATATTATATCAAGAATAAAATGAAAATAACCGATAAATCGAGATTAAACAGGTGTCAATATTTTTTATTGTCTTTCCCAAATTTTTAATAAATAAATAATAAATAATGGTTTTCAAATATTAAGAAATGTTAAAAATCTCATCGAGTGTTTTAATTGCGTAATGAACCTCCTAAGGGTGGAGCTACTTTGATGTACGAATAAACAAAGGATTCTGAATTGCAACTGTTGAAATTCACGAGTCACGAGAATATCCCTGACAATTTGTAGAACAAACACAACCGCACTTTTTGCCCCAGCAGTTTCTGCCCAATCACAAGGAGAAATTCTGAACTGGAGTTTCGAACGCAAAGCTTCTTTGCTGCACCTTAAGAACAATCAACTTCACAAACGAAAATCGCCCGACCGATGGAAGAGACTGGCGGGGAACGTCAAAGGCATTTCAGAAAATCCTCACGCAGTCCAACACAGTATAAACTTAAATTGCCTGTAACTGATTATTGTTACAGTAAATAAAAACTCATAGGAGAGAGTGGGGTGAAACGAACCGCCTCTAATCGCCGAAATCTCCTGACTAAATGATACAATCCTGATGAAACTCATGAATTTTTAAACCTTAAATAAAAATAAGTGGGAAATTTCTTTCGTCACAACATAATCAATATATTTTCACTAAAAATTTAGCAATTTGCTTTCGAGTGGAATTTCTATGAGGATGCATTTTAAATTGAATTCAACATTGTCCCAACGTTGGCAGCTGACATTGCATCAACATTGACAGCCAACATTGCTCCCACGTTGATACGCAACATTGTCCCAACGTTATCAGCCAACATTATCCCAGCGTTGGCAGCCAACATTCCCCCAGCGTTAAATTTCTTTACTTTTCCCTCAATATTGGTTTCATAATAAATTTTTTCAACAACAATTGGATTCATTTGAACAATTATTGTTTAAATTATCGTCGAAACGATCAGCCTAATCACAACATGAATGCGATCTTATTC